ATGTAGACCACAGTAGATCACAGTTAAGATGGTAATATTTGTACAATCTTGATGAAACAATAAGGGAAGTTACTGGCATTCCATAACAAACCATTAACCTGGAAACTAAATCTTTAGGAAGTACACAACCTCTTTAGTGAATGATAATGATGAAAATGATGATGATGATAATAATGAGTGATAATGATGAATGATAATAGATTTCAAATCATAATGCAGAGAACAATCAAAGCTTGAGACAAATTTAGATAGTTTGCAGCAAATACAGCTAAAGTTCAATCAATGCCATGCAGAGTTTTGCATGCTAAATATGGTGTAAAGTTACCTAGAGTGTGAGTGTTCTGAAGCACTATCTGTTTCAACACTAGAGGGTGCACTGTGCACTATCGATGGTGGCGGTGGGGGTGGCGATGCTGTAGGTGGTGCTAAATGAGACAACTGCTGTCCTCGTCGTTTCTTGCTATCACTTTTTCGTACAGTACTGTCACTGGTTTTATAATAATAATAATTGACAATGGATATTTTGATATGACAATAATCAGAGTCACTTAAACCTTAAATTCTTTTAGAGCTAATCTATTACTTATAAACAGAATACAGTGGACCACAGTCATATACGCCCACCACGGTATGCGGATGGTAAAAACGAAACATCCATTTTAAGTTTCATCAAAATCAGTTCAAAACTAAGAGAGTAATAGCATTTTCAAGATTTTTGGGCAAGGGCAATAACTCTGCTTCTAAAGGACGAAAATAGCTCAAATTCAAACTTGATCTTCGTTTTTATGAATATGTATACACATACCGAATTTCATTTCATTCCATCAAAAAATTTAGTTTTTCGAGCGTTTACAAGCAAATGTTGACAGACCGACGGATGGACAAGGGTGCCGACAATATACGTCCACATAGAGAGATGTGGGGTTATAAAAATGGAAGAGTACATGACATAAACATCAAAAACTATGGTAGAGGATCATTGAAAATTTCAAAATTGGTTCTAGGGTTCAAGTTTTAATTGTCTCAAGGAACTTAAACTGTGATACTAAATAAAAAGATAGTGGACCACAGTCATATACTCCCATTGCGGCATGTGGATGGTAAATATTAAAGATTTTGGGGCAAGGGCAATAACTCTGCTTCTTATGGTCAAAAATAGCTCAAATTCGAACTTGATCTTTGTTTTATGAATATGTCTATTACATAACGAATTTCATTTGATTCCATCAAAAAATCTAGTTTTTAGAGCATTTACAAGCAAATGTTGACGGGCAGACGGACCTACGGACGGAATGTTTACGAGCAAATGACGTTGATAGAAGCAGTTACTGTATAGAGGTTAAAAGGGCGATAACTCCTAAAAAAATGACGTAAGAGGCCTAAATCTTGAAAAAGCCTTGAATTTAATCAGAAGTAAACTAAACTTTCTTAAACCTTTCAATTTAGGTCCAATAACATCCATTTTTAGTTTCATCAAAATCGGTTGAAAATTAAGAGAGTAATAGCATATTCAAGATTTTGGGGCAAGAGCAATAACTCTGCTTCTAACAGTCGAAAATAGCTCAAATTCGAACTCGATCTTCGTTTTATGAATATGTATGCACATACCGAACTTCATTTCATTCCATCAAATATCTAGTTTTTAGAGCGTTTACAAGCAAATGTTGACGGACGGACAGGGGTGCCGACAATATACGTACACATAGAGAGATGTGGGCGTATAAAAATAAGTCAAGCACTATAAGACCATGAAAATTTAGCAAATCAAAGAATGGCAAAATGAAATCATCACTAAATAAAGTTCTAACTTGTATGTATTATCTGAAAGTAATAAATTGTTCTGAATATAACATAATGAAATGATCAAAATAACTTTACATAATGAGTTGATGAATGAAAATATAAATGAAGTCTCATGTAATACTTCAAATCATATTGTTAACTTATATTAATGCAATAAACGTATATTTAAAGGGATTGTAAAGAGGTTTTATAAATTTTTTATGTGTATCGGGTACACTGATAGCATCAATTTGCACCATTCAAATTTTCAACCAGATGTCTGTTGTCCCTGTAATTCCACCAAAACTTAGTGTTTTAATGACATCACTAATCGCAACAGTGATAAGTGACGTAATCAGACACTTTCAGAAACCATAGATGTCTGACTAAATATTGGAATAGTGCCATTGATGCTATCAGTGTCCCCGATACACATAACCTCGATACAATCCCTTAATATAAATATGAATGTATATGACAAAAGTGATGGTGATGAGGGAAAAAACACAAAAATTGGTCAAATGATATGAGTTTAAAATATATTTTGAAATTTTAGAGGCCAATAAGGATAATGAATAAATGAATGAATGAATGAATGAATGAATAACTGAATAAATGAAGAAGGTAAAACATAATAGAAAGTGAGTGGTATATTCAATGTGAGGTTATATTATCTTATTACTCACAGACTTATAAAACCAGAAAAACCTGGCAATCTACCGATAGCATGTGAGACGAAAATTCTTAACTTAATACAAATCTTTTTCAAATCATGTCAGGGTAAATTTTCAAACACATTTTTAACACTTGAAAGCCTTTTTAAACAATAATCCAAATGGTAAACTGAGCTAAATTAAAAATCAATAAGTAAAATCAGATAGCCAATCAGATACCTAGTTTTTGCATGTTATCGTGGCATTTATTTTTCCTAAATTAAATGTATAAAATTCCTTTGAATTCCAATTTGTCATTTTTTTTAACCAAAGTATTGATCAGAATTCACAGAAACAATCAACAGAAACAAAAGGTTACCAAAAACAGATGAAAAAGTAGATAATTACCTGTCATGTTTAATCCATGTTTCCAGACCACTTTCAGGATAAGTTCTATTGTCAGAATCTGTCCGACTCTCTGTATCAGCTTGACTACTCTTATCCTCCAGTTCCTCTTTACTATTACTATTAATACTGCTACCGTCTAACTCACTATCTTGTGACTGTAATATAGAATAGCTTTAGATTACCATTTCACCTGTATAGATCAATTGATAGTCTGACTTTACCCTGTACAGACATGCACAGAGATATTGTTATGGGGTCATGCTACATCTCAGTGAAGTACTTTAGGGAAAAAAATTCTATTGAGAACTTAGCCTTTTTAGAACATTTTGCAATCTTGGGGAGACAACTACCTTTACCATTTCAAATTTATGCAGAATGGATCTGGAGCATGGTCAATAAAATAAAGCAGTCAACCACCCCAAATTTCAACAGAAGGGAAGACAAAATATGCTTATCCTTCTAGAATACTAAGTGTTTACCTTAGAACGTTTAGTTGGTGGACGTCTAGAAGTGTTAGCTAATGCTGCTTTAGATTTAGAAACTGTTGTATCTAATAATGGTGTTCTGGGAACATCACTGAGTAATTCGTCCTCTGTTTTAGGTCTGAAAGCTGGTGATTTAGGTGAATCTGTATCTACAACAATTCATTGACATATATAATAGTATTTACATGACATTTAGCAATTTTAAGTACAGTATATAGACAAAGATTTATCAAAAAAGAATCACTGCTTAAAGTTTATAATACAAGTTTTTCTGCTTGGGGATGACAGGAGAAACACATAGAAACATTATATAAATCTTTCAACAGTAATTAAGGTTATATATATATCAAAAGACAATAATATAATATTTTCACTGTTAAGATAGTGCTAAATACATCGATTGTAGAGATAGATATATATATCAAAAGGTACAAATATCTGGCTTTATTGAAATATGAACAGATTTGGGCAGGATGATCACATTGTTTATCCAATCTTAGAAATCATTCCTCAGCCCTCTAACCAGTATCACTGTGATAGAGGTCACCAAAATACTTCTTAGTCTCTATGCAAACCCTAGGATTCTCTCAGCTTCAGTCAGTTATCTTCACAGTTCAATGTAATCAATCTTACCTGGTGTTAAGATAGGATCTGAACCTCCAAAATCAGAATTAGATGACACTTCTGACACATTGTCTACTGGAGATATTGTACCAGCTAAAACACATAATAATTCAAATTATATAGAGTGCCTTTCTGAAGGATGATTTCTTAAAATAAGCTTTCTGGTTATTTATCTATATTTTCCTCTTGCTAGAAATGTGTTTAACCAAATGGAAGAGAACTCAATACATTTTATGAAATATAGTCCTTTTAACCTTGGAAAGCCTAAACTTAACCCTGTTCTGAAAATTTAGATTTAAGAATGTAAAAGTAAAGACCTACCTATAGATGTTGACTGAACTAAAGGTGAATTGTGTTTTACAGGTAAAACATCTGTTTTCATTAATTTTTCACTCTCCACGTTTAATGTTACACTAGAGTTGTTATGTACACCAGATACCTCCTTCTCTAAATCAAATATCTAAAAATAAATAGAAATAGCATGAATAGTATTTCATATAAAATCACAACATAAATAAAGATGATATTTTATGCTATCAATCCTGTACTGCCACTCTAGGTCGAATAGACAGAAATTGATAATTTCCCACATCATTTGACACAGAATCAAATTTCTTGCTGACAAATTGTTCCATTCACAATGAAACAAATCTTAACATGAATACAACCTACCCTATCTTTTAATGATTTCACCAAGGCGTTATACTGTTGATCTTTTTCACTTTGTTGTTGTAATAAAGATTCTCTTTCTTGGATGAAGTCTTTCTCTCTAAAAGGTAAGAAAGAACCATTTTTTAACAAGGATAACAACTTAAAGAAAGAAAACTTATTTGGCCGTCCTAAGCAAGTATATGCTTCCCAAATAAAACCTCCATTTATGCCAATAATGCCAATATAAACTGTCCATGCATGCTACATTTGCATTTGGTTTCAATTAAACTGAAGGCAAAGAAATCTTTTATGTAGGATAGTATATTTAGGATGATATGAACTAAAATGCATAAATTCTGTATCTAAGATAAAAATCTACAAATAATTATGATGATTATTACCTTTGCTGAAATTCTTTGATGAGTTTTTTAGCTTTATGGTATTTTTTCTCTAATGAAACACAGTCATTTTTCATCTGTTTTTCTAGACCTATATATTGTCCCTGAGAGTCTTCTAGTAAATCCTGGAAATGTTAAAAACTTATATGTTATTGGAATATTTTTTTTATAAAATCACCAAATTGATCGTGTAATTTTTCTTTTTTGTTATTTCCCTTACATTATTAGCAAAATTATAATACTTCATAAATAAACAGTAATACAAAGCAAAATTTTTTATTTTAATTGTCTGTATATCACAAAAAGCCTATTCTTTTTTATTGTTGTTTCAGTCTATACCTTTTAATAGATTGAGTATTGTTTATTTTCTAACATCAAATAATTACCTGATATTGGCTAATTTCTTTCCGACTATTTTCCATGGATTTCTCTAATTCTCGAATACGTAAACTCTGCTCGTCTACTTTTCTATCCAGTTGTTTTTTCTGGACTTCCACATTCTCTAATAAAATTATCTAAAGAGAAAAGAGAATATTATGATAAAATATGATAATAATGTCTCTAAATGAGACTTCCACCAAAGTTTTGATTGTAACACTATCATACAGCAACACATATCTATAACAATTCAGACAATTAAACCAACTAATTTTCTACTGTCCCTACCAATCTCATGTTTCACATATCATATTAACAGATAAATCATCATAAAATAACTTACTTTGGCCTTTAATTTAGCTAATTCTGCCTCAGCCACTGCATTTTTATACTGGGCCTGAAAAAAACCAAAGTATAAAAGAAAATAGTAGATGTTTACAGAATTAAGATAGCAAATAACTGTTGTATTTCAGTCTTAAAATGATGAAACATCAAATGAGTGAGGTGAGTGTCTTGAACTGATTACAGCAATGTCATAGACATACCTCTTTTAATTTGACAAATAGAGCCTGAGGATCCATGTCAGGAGAGGTATCTTCACTGCTGGATTCAGGTAGATCAAACACTTCAACTGTTGGTTTTTCTCCCATTTCTTCTGGTGAACTAACACTATCAGTATCCATAGACGGTGCTGACATGGGAGTCGCATCACCAGCTGCCATATCCTCTTCTTCTTCCTCTTCCTGTCCAACATCCTCTTCAATAACACAGTCATCTTCATCTTCATTGGCTTCCTTCTCTTGTGCATCTTCCATGCCCTAATAATGAAATGATGGTTTTAATTACTACACCCATGCAGGCTAAGGAAGGCTTCATGCCCAAGAAATGAACAGAGTATTCTTTGGGTTACACAGTTAAAGATAGTGGACTACAGCCATCTATGCCCACCACAGCATGCGGATGGTAAATATTCAAGATTTTGGGGCAATAACTCTGCTTCTAACGGTCGAAAATAGCTCAAATTCGAACTTGATCTTTGTTTTATGAATACGTATACACATACCGAATTTCATTTGATTCCATCAAAAAAACAAGTTTTTGGAGCGTTTACAAGCAAATGTGGACCGACGGACCAACGGACATGGGTGCCGACAATATACGTCCACATAGAGAGATGTGTAATTCTAAACTTTTGCTAAGGGCTTGAATAATGTTACTATCTAAAAATAGCTTGCCAGGCATTTTCAATAGCAAGAGCTATAACTCATACTAATTATTTTTCGATTCTTCTGGTTTTCAATAGGGTTCATCCTTGGGTGATTACGAACACTCATACCAAGTTTTGTCAAAGTCTGTCAAGAATTGTGTCTTGTAGAGTGTTTACGAGCAATTGTGGACGGACGGAATACCTACCTTTTCCTCCAACATGGAATCATCAGTCAATGATCTATTGGAGAATTCACGTTCCATCTGATGATGAAGTTCATGTTCTAAAACTTCATCTTTGGGTCTGAAATCATCGCGTAACTGTTGCAGTCTCTCTTGTTCCAGACGCTTCACTTCTTCTCGCCTGCGGTCCTGTTCTAATGACTGCTGAATTAACTTGGCTACTTCACTTTTACTTGGATCAGGTTCCCTCCCAACCAGAAACCTACAGATGAAACAACTAGTCATTAGGGTGATTGAAACTAATGAACTAGTGTAATGTATTCTTATGTCTTATCACAGACAGTACTATAATGTACATAAAGCAAGAAACTGTTCATTACATACCAATGGTGGTAAATTTAATGAAAATTGTATTGGCATGTTTTGATTATACACAAACTCTGTTGAGTGTCCACATGACCACGTCAGAATTCATTGAATTTGGTTTTCATTACCTATGGAAAAAGCTACATAAGTTCTTATCTCCTAAACTATTAATAGAATTCTTCCAAAATTACTGAGAAATAATAAATAACTTACTTGACAGTACCATTGGTATTACGTAGAACTGAGGCAGCATAAGCTTGAGTTACACCAACTAAACTTTTCCCATCAACCTCTATAATCTGATCATTAACAGCAATCCTGGAAATATTATTCATATAAAGATTTGAGTCAATAGCACATTATTCAATTACACATTCTTAGTCGTAGAGGTTAGATTTATACATCAATTATCTCAAAACTCTTTTAATTATAGTGGTTAACAGATTTCAATGAAGACATATTACTACCACAATCTATTTCTAACTTTCTAATGATCTATAATGTACAGCCTCCAACATAGCATCTCATCTTTCATGTCTTAACAACCATAAAATATTGACTATGTCAAAATCTTAACATCCATGCATCAGGACACAGAATGATTAATTAAACATCATTACCTGCCATCTTTTTGAGCAGCACCACCTTCAGTTAATGTTTTAATAAATATACCAAGTTTTTCTAGACCAGCATCTGCTCCCACACCCATTCCAATAATACTCAACCCTAAACCTTCTGGACCTTAAATAGTCATAAATATTTGGCATTAGGAAGACTTATAAACAAGATTCTGGGCAGAATTGATAGAATTGATAATCAACAACTATCTACGCCAAGGTGCATGCATGTCTGAACAAACTTCATTCTTCTAAATAAATAATGATAATTGACCAATCTTATGCATAGTTTTCAAATTGTCAGAATTCTATCAATGTAAAATTACACAGACATTGTATAGATCCTAACCTTTATTTAAATCAACTGGGAAAACATCCATCTTCTCAACACGTTTCTCTAACTCATACTCGGCTGAAGCAGCTACTGGATCTATATCTTCATTTCTTCTATCATAATCTTCAGTTGAGAATGTGGGGAATACCTTCAATATGTCAATGAATATGATAAAAAGGTCCTGTTACAGTACTATATCTATTTTTTCTAATTACAGCTTTTACAAATATTTTAGTTTGAGCAACTTAAACTTGTTATAGTTTGAATATGATATTGAACTCAATTTGAGGTCAATTCAAAGATAATTTTTTTTCTTACAAATAAGAAGAGTTATAACATGCCCATCTTATGAAAATAACTTGAAATTTACATTTGATACATATTCATTATGGTGTTCTAAGACAATCAACAGTTTGTGTATCAGGTAACTTAATTTCAATAATTTCATAACACATTTTGGCATGAAATACAAACATCAGTGAATAACTTGAAGGAAGACAAAATGCATCAATATATTATTTCACAATTTTTAAATGATATTGTGTTTGTAGAATGTTTGATGAAGTGGAATAATGATGTGTAAAAATAGTTTTTAAATTGAAGAAGTTGTAGATAAAAATGATGATCACAGCTGGATATCAACTCTATTATAACATACTTCTGTAAATAACTCACTAACCTAATATAATTTCATGCCTCTTATCTTATTTTTAACTAATTTTTCTTATATTTCTAAATTCCCTGTGGGTGTATAATATTTTATTTGAACTCGAGTACCTTATTTGTAAATTATATACAATATTTCATTTTCTTCAAAAATCTAAATTTCAGGTTGATATTTCAAAGACTGACTTGCTACATTTTGGTGGTGAGTCATGTGATAATTTTGTCTGAGACACATCTCAAAACACTTTTACACTTGTGATGAAATTGCAACATTACTATCAATATCAGTGTAGAATTAACTACCTCTACTGTATCATTTTTCAATGTTTTTTTTTTGCACAGAAAATATTGTTAATAGATGAATTTGTTTGACTATCATTGTTTGTGAATAGTATATGTGTACATGAGAATATATAGATAGAGTTTTATTCTCCACTATACAGCACCTCAGTTATAAGTGTAGTGTGCAAAAATTGAAATTTTGTAACGACCATCGGCTTTATTTTCATTTGACTCGTCTTCTGTTCAAAAGATAAAGAGAGTATTCAATAAACTAGAACTTGTTTCATATAAATACCAGTAAATAAGTTTTGAATGACATTTAAGGTTGAGAGCACATATAACAGAAAACACAAGGGAATATATTGTGGTATAACACACTTCTTTAATAACCAAATTTCATATAAAAGGAGCTTGAATTAACAAGAGCAATAACTCTGTTGCATGGTGCTCAATTTTGACCCTACCCACCCTAGAAATAGTTTGGTTCATGACGCGCAAGGAACTAGTGTTTGTAATTGGCAGATATGAGATATGATATGTCTGAATCAAATGAGCACATTGAGAATTATAGACAATAAAAAACAAACTATCTACCTTCATTGGACTACGACTGAATCTTAGTTTAGAGGCTCTTTTATATTCAATATCTTCATCACTACTGTCCTCATCTGTATCAGATAATCCTTTTATTTCTATATAATTATCTTGTGGTAAATATGATATAGCATCAGCTGAAATATATAATATAACAATCTGAAAAAAACTGTTTATTATACTTACTATGAAGTAGATTAGTACATTATAAAATACTTTCACCAAAAATTACTATTAATCTACCTCATATTATAATATGACTAACAGGCTGAATCTATGTTGAATATGTGACTTCAACAATACTGCCAATCTGGAAACCAGTACCGGTACCTATGAAAATTACTTACAGTGACAAGCAACTATCACAGTCATGTGGAAACCAGATTGGCTTAACAGGTAATTTAACAGAACAATTATTCCCTTCCTAAGGGTTTCCCATCAATTGGGTAAAATGTATAATGTAAGCTTATTATTTGAATTTTTGTAATAATTAAAGGAAGTAAAACTGCTGTATTACCATCTGGTTCATGAGGTAGTGAAATATCAGGATCTTCATGGCCATCTCCATCTTCACGTTTTGTTAATATATCAGCTTCATCATCTTCAACTCTATCAAATATATTAGGTTGAGCACTGTAATACATTACATATACATCATATTATAATAGGACCAACCAATATATACTTGATTCCAGTCAGAATTATAACTGACTTGTAAATTGTAGATTCTGATATTTCAGTGAAAATCTGAAATAAAAAAACTAAAAAGATCGTACTTCTCCTATGAGGAGTCCTTCACTATACAATTTGGCTCAGATTTTTGGTTAAAGAAATTGAAGGCCTATTCATACAGGTTTTTTTTTTTGACATGTAGATTGAACTCCACTTATTCAGAATAAACCACAATATATCAGATTAAGTATAATATGATAGTCAGTTACCAAGTAACTCAAGGGCAGAATTTTCAGGTACTATTACCCTAGAGAGCAATCATCATCAAGTCACCAAAAACAATAGTTTTCATTTATTAGCAGTGAAAATAGATGTCATTAAATTATGAAATAGTTGAATGTCTTAAAATTGAATATTCAATCTAGACTGCATATTTCTTTATAAGTTCTATATTATAGATTATAATCTACAAGGTGTGAGACAATCTTAAATAGAATATGAATGACTTACATTTTTAACAGTTTAGCTTTGATACTAGCTACAGTTTTATGGGTTGGCTTGTCTATCAATATCATTCCCGGCATTGTTTATAAATATAACACTTCTATTGAAATGACATGAATATATTTCCCAGATAGGTTTCCAACATTATTCATAGAGAATAAAAGGGAACATGATGTCCTTTATGTCAATAATTGTAAGATATCTTTAAACTTTACACTACATTATCAACATTAAATATAATCAAGTTCTCATGTTTTCCAGTGAAAATACACAAACCATGATTTTCTATTCCAGAAGTCTCAGCAAATATGGATGAAAGTTTATTCCTGTCACATTTCACATTTTTCTTTTCATTATATCCATTAATTGTTTCACCATTCAATTAGGCAATAAATTCAACTCTTTCAATGTAAGGCTGTCATTGTGTTGTGATATAAGCTTATAATAAAAATCTTTAAATTCTCCAATGTACATTACAAATCCTGTATTAGATAATTAAAAGACTCATGTGAATTCAAGATGTGTACATTTGAAAAGCTTAAATCAGGTCTGACCAGCTTATAGAAATAAATAAGAGAGTGGAAGGAATCTACCATGATTCAGTATGTAACAACAATAAATAATTAAACTTATATCCTTTATCATATTCAAACATTCACAATCATCTTTTTATAAATCAATAACCAATAACAATCAATTTAACCCAAACATTCCTTAGTAGAAATAACACATATATATCTTAGTGCAAGAACATTGATACCTTTTCCAGTTCTTCATCTCATGATCTTTGATTCTGATCCATGTAACATAAACAATGATGTTATTATTATCAATTAACTTGACAATCAAATACTATTATGATACAATGAGCATGCATCACTCATAAATACTAATGACCATAAAATCACTTTAAAATCTTCAACAGAAAAGTAGAATATCTATGTTATAAAATTCTATCCTTACAGTAATCTAAATCAATGAGCTTGATAGAAACCAAACACTGATAATAAAAATACCAAACTAACTATTTAAAAACAACCACTTGACTTGAAGTTGAGAAATGTAGTTTAAATATGAGAAAACTATACTTTTTTTCTATGATAAACACTATTAGATTCTGATAAAACAGGATTCTTGCCAAGGTACTACAAATACATGATTGGTTTAAATTCTTACATGACTGTACTAAATCTCATTCAAACAGACCATTGATATCACCTGAAACTTAAGTTGTACCAGATAGACTTCACCTTGATATTTCATACATGTAATAGTATACACACTATATCTCTTGGTTAAGTGCGGTAAATCAAAGTTAGTTTTGCATCGCTCTAAAAAAAGATCTCCTCTTTGACAAACTGTACAGGAAATTCCATGTAAAAAATTTATCAACTATTCTGGTGTTGTTACAAACTACCAAATTATCCACAACATTATTTAACATATACTATTAAACATAGAATTGTTATGAAATTTCTTTTATCCAAGAAGAAAAATAATATTGTAATCCATATACAACTCTCTATCCATAAATTCTATTTTATACCCTATTGTTTTAACCATGTGTTAATTTCACTCACTAATAAAATTGTCCTAATAATTACCGGTTTAAAATGTACTAGCATGTTTTCATAACTTTTTAATTAGTTAATTAGTATGTTATAGGAGTAATAATGGTTAATAATGTTGTAATACTATAAGATGTAATAAAGATAATAAATTCTTCTAATTAATATGTAAATCAGGCTCTATCAATCATTTAAAGGGGCATCTGCACCATTTTGGGCTTTATTTGAGTCTTGAATATATGTAAATGGTTTTCAGAAGTACTAGAAATGTACGAAAATATCATAATTCCTTTCAAAATACTTCAAACTAGGAATGTTACTCACTATTTCTATATATATGTCTTTTCTATATATCACAGAGTAACTTATCTTGACGAGTCCTCATTTTAACATTCAAACAGGGATAATTCTGGACACACACGGAATTGAAGGATGTGAACACTATTACTGATTAGTTAAAAATTCTTGTTTTTGAGACTAGAGTTTGATTGGTTAAAAAAATTGCACACCTGTCCCTTTAACAGCATTATACAAACAAATATGGTCCTTAAGATTGAAAACACTAGTTTTGCTGTTAATGCAAAATATACAACCTACTTTTAAGCTTAAACTAGATTTCAGGCACTCCTGCATGATTACTTCCAACACTACATGTTAAGAAATACATGACACAGGAAGCACCTTAATTATTCTTATATATGAAAATAAAAAGTGTTGCTTAAGGATCAAGGAGCTATAATTCGTCTAGTGTCTGACTGACTAGTTTGGTAAATGTGAACTACTTTCCAGCTCTTCAATCTAGTAAGCTTACATGGAAGACTGTGCAGTAGATGAGATAAAAATATCCAACTGCAGTTGCATGTCT